CGGCCCCGGACTGCCCACCCCGTCCCGCCCAGGCGCGGCCTCGTCAGGCCCCCCGCCGCCCCGCGCGGTCCCCGCAGCTCCCTCGGCGTCCCGGCCCGCCTCTCCCGCGCGCGAACCCGGGGCCCTCGCCCTCCGGCTCAGCCACTCACCCGGCCGGCGGATCCCGGCTCCGGGGAAGGGGCGTCTACACCGCCGGCCGCAGGCCACCGCCTCCGCCGCCGCCGCCGCGCCCGCTGTAGGTCCCTACTCGGGGGGGCGGAGTCGGGCCGGCGCCGCGCGTGCGCAGTGTGGCGCGGAGGCTCGGCTGCGGCGCGGCCGGCGCCGGTAGTCCGCAAGGCTGCGCCTGCTCCCGCCGGGTTTCCGCGCCCCCGGGAGCCCGAGACGCATCTCGGGCCGGCTGCTGGGCTCCGAGCTCGATCCAACTCGTCCACACCCACTGCATGCAGTGGCCCTGCTCTGGCTGGGTGCCCGCAAGCTCAGGAGTCTCCTGCAAAAGGGGAACCGATCTCCTTCCATTGTCTCCCGGGAGGACCGTTCGTGAGCGCCAGCTGTGTGCCAGTGCTGGGTACAAGCCTAGGGCGCAGTAGCTCCCTGCCCGCGTGGAGGTTGAAGTCCAGCAGCGAGTGAGGGAAGGAGCTCAGCTCTTCAGCCTCCAAATTCTTCCTCTTTTGAAAGCAGCAGTGAATGACATGGCCTTGAGTCGGGTTCGAATCCCGACTCTCCCGGACTCTTTTTTTTTTTGCATTTTAGCTTCAAGACCTTGGGCAAAGAAGTCCCCTGATCGCCTGACCTCTCTGAGGCTCGGAGTTGCTTGCCATTTCTAAAGGTGGGGAAGACCATACTTGAAGCCCAGAGCCTCATCTATCTCACGTAGGTGGTTGTTGAGGAGCAGGCGAAACAATGATTGTTGGGAGAGTCTGGAGATGGTGTGATCTCATTTAATGCCAGTGTTTTTTCCTGCTACTTGGACTCCAATACCATTTTCTGGGAACCTCACTGCACTCCCAACACACGCGCGCTTTTGACCTTCCGGAAAGAAAGTGTACCTAGAATAGACCCCTCTCTGAGTAGAGAAGGGGGCCAGTCCCAATAATCAGTGACTCAGATGCTGCTCCCTACAAAATTAAAGTGCTCCCTAGGAACGGCAGACTATGGTAGGGAGCAGCGTCACCGGACGCGCAGTCTCTCCAGGAATAACAGCTGAAATTTTATTTCAAATCTCCGGAAGGAGCACGGCTAGTTTCCAACACCTTCCTGTTGGAGGCCAGAGGTCAGGGTGCGTGGACATTGGCCAGAAGCAGGGAGGAGATGCAGAGCTGAGGGCAGGTCTTCAACACGGAGAAGTGGAGTTCAGGAAGACAGTGTCAGCCACAGGGCCAGCAGGGAGGCAGAAATGCCCACCACTGAAATAGGAAGAGCTGGGGAGAGAGAATGTCAACCCAGAGACCGACCACCAGCAGCAATTTCTTTCTCCTGCTCTTTGCTGCAAGGCCCGACCTTCATTCCTCATAAGGGAGCCTCCGAGTCCTCTTATCTCCTACGGCTCAGAAAATCTAGTGCACCTATTCTCAGAAAAACCCATTTAGGTACAAAGAGTTCCATCTCCCTCAAAAGTGGGGTGGGCTTGGGAAGGACACTGAGAATCTAAACTGGGCCCTGCCTAGAAATCTGTAGTGGCAGAAGCAGCTAAATCAGGATAAACTGTTAATTCTAAGTATTGGAGAATCAGAAGTCTAAGCATTTGAGTATTTTTCCTAAAATGTAGCTGAATCGTTGCCTCTCCTTGTGACTTCCACTCATGCATTGCAATTCTTCCCTCTTGAGTCACACAGAATTAATGAAAGAGCACCTCTGTCTTTCCTGGCAATTTTTCTGGAGTTCGATAGAGCCGGTTATAAATCCCAGCTCAGGCACGAAGAAGCTGTGAGCCTGCTCCCTAACCTGTCTGAACCTCAGCTTCTCATGTAAAATTCAGCAAACAATAGGACCTAGCTCACAGGTCACAACTGTCTACATTAAACAAGAGAAAGCAGGTCAAGGCTTAGTGCAGTCCCCGACAGATTTACATTTCTCAGAAGCCCACATTCAGTTAGATAAAATGCTTTGTGGAGGGTCTGGAAGTGGGGGTGTTTCCAGCTTGGAAAAGGGCCAAGAAGGAATAGAGACCACTCCCATTGAAACCCTTAAAGTTGACCTATTGTGGCCTCTTTAAGCAGGGAGAGTTCACCTGGACCTTCAACCAGGGCACGTGTCCAACATTTACGGCTGCCCTTGTGTCTTCTTCCCCATCCTGATTAGTTTGCCTAAATCCTTTTTCAGTGTTCCATTGATCATCTCTGTTATAGGTTGAATTATGTCCCTACAAAAGATATGTTAAAGTCCTAATCCCCAGTGAATGTAAATGCAAATTCACACCTGTGGATGTGACCTTATCTGGAAATAGGGTCTTTGCAGACATAGTTAAAATGGGGACATTAGGTGGGCCCTAATCCACTGTGATTGGTGTCCTTAAAAAAGAAGAAATTCAGAGAGGCGAATGCCATGTGAAGACACAGAGAAACACAGGGAGAAAAGGCCATGCAAAGACAAGGCTAATGTGGGGTTATGTTGCCACAAGCAAAGGAACACCTGGGGCTGTCAGAAATTGGGAAAGGCAAGAATCTCTCCCTATAGCGTTCCCAGGGAGCATGACCCAGGTGACACCTTGATTTTTACACTTCTAGCCCCCAGAACTGTGAGACAATAAATTTCTGTTTGTTACAGCAGCCCTAAGAAACTAACACACGCTGCTGGATATGATTGCCTAATGAATAGGAGAGAGGCGGGAAGACGTGTGAACCAAACTAGTCGTTGAGTATAAGGGTTGGGAGATGTCCATTCATTTACTTGTTCATTCAACAAACATTTACTGAGTACCTATTTAGTGCAGACACAAGCAAGCTAGGTGCTGAGGATAGAGTACTCGAGGAACAAAATCAGGCTCCTTCAGGGAGCATTCTTGTTGCTGGGGGTGGTGGACCTCAGGCAATTAATGGAATATATATAATTAACATTAGGGAGGGCTAGAGGTCAGAGAGGAAAAACTGGGTAGTGGGGTGTGGAAGGGAGTGCAAAGCAAGAGAAAGGATGATAAAAAAGGCTCAGTGAAGGGGACTTTGAAGATGAGCTCTAAGCCATGAGTAGGATTCAGCATGGGAAGGTGGAAGAGAGTTTCACACAAAGAGCATGTGCAAAGACCCTGAGATGTGCAGAGTTGCACACGTTTGAAGGAGAGAAGGAAGGGCTGCAGCTCTAGATCATCCTGGGCACTTAACACATTGTGATCGTAGGGAGTCACTTATGGCGATTCTGCCAGTGAGGACCCTGTGGCTCGCGGAGGAAGGGACTTGACCTCAGTGTGTCTCAGAAAAGGGCCAGGTCTCTAACAACCAGGTCTGGATCTTTGGGCTAGTTGCTGGAGTGGGGGGGAGCGGACGGAGGCGGGCAAAGACATGTAAATCTCAGGCATTTCAAGACTGCATAAACAGGAGACCCTAGGAAGTGGCTTTTTTTGTTTGTTTGTTTGTTAAAAATATTTCAGGAATGTCTAGTCACTTCTTTGAGCTTTTGTTTGCTCACCTGTGAAAGAGGGGGAAAAGGCCTCTTTGTTCAGGTTCCCCAAGGTCGTATAGGACTACCAAAATACTCAAATTCAGTGCTCCTCCCATTCCTGGGACGCAGGGGGTGGAGCCTGCAGAGTCCGAATACCAATCCCGTTACTCTTTGGTACGGGCTGTGTGGCCTTGGGCAAGTTACTGCCGGTCTCTGAGATGCTTTTGCCAACTCAAAAGGGGGCGGAGGAGCGCGCCTGAGACTAGGCTCGGGTTCCGGACACGCTGTGCCACCTGGCGGCGCTGCGTTCTTCCCCAGCACTGCGGGGAGCACCCGCCCTGCTCAGCCGCCTCTGGAGCCCCGCGGGACCGCGCGGTAGGGCCGCCGGAGCCGGGAGCAGCGCACCGGGCATGCGCGGCCGGTAGAGCCACTCGAGGCAGCCTCTACGCCGCCCCGCACTGCCCCCTCCGCCGCGAGCGCGGGGGCTGTAGTACCGCGGGAGGCCTGTGGCGTCGCTGCGCGGCCGGCCCTGCGGGTTCCGCGCTTGTAGAGCTCTACCCAGCGCGGGCAGCTCTGCGCTCACCTGGCGGCTGGCACAGCAACCTGGGCGCCCCCAGCCTGCGGCGCGCCCTCCCCCCGACTCGCTTCTTCGAGATGTGCTGCTTTGCTTTTGTTGCTCCTAGGCCGCGGGAGCGGCGGGGGCTGGACGCTTCCCGCTGGCGAGACTCCCGGCCCAGCCGCGTGCGCTCTCGCAAGCGGCGTTTGCAAAGTTGGTATTTAACCAAAGGCAAATGCCTACCTGGGGATTCAGAAGAGTGGGGTCAAAGGGGCTCCTGATGATTCACAGCCTCCCAGTCTTCACATTTTCTTACACTGACAAGTAAATGTGCGCCCCCGCCTCTGGGCTGTAAGTTCCACCAGCGCACGTGTCCGTGTCACGGCTATTTTGTTCATCGCTGACGCGCCAGGGTTAGCATATGCCAGGCCCGGAACAGACCCGGCTTCCAGGACCAAGCTGGCCTGAGCCGCCAGCGTATCTTGCTTGAACCAGGCGTAGCCAAAGCCTGAATAGGACAGGGCCGTCTCTGAAGAGGTTCCCGAGGGAGGTACAAAAGAGAGTGCAAAAAAAGGAGAGGAGCGTTTAGAACGTTCATCGAAATCGGACACAGCTTCGGCATCCCAGCGCGGGATCCGCGGAACAAGGTAGGGGAGTTCGGGGGGGGGCGGTGTACTCTAACTCAGGTCCCTCGTGGCTCTGGCTGCGTTCTCGCCGCATGCAGTGGACGCCCCCTTGAGAAAGGATGGGGGCGGGGGGAACACCCGGTCCTTTGAGGCAGTTCTAGGCTGCGGTGATAGCCTTCCGCCTCACCTCCCCGCTTCCACTCTTCATCCATGCTGAAGCATCCAGAGTGCTCCTTCCACAAAGCAAATGGGATGGAGTCACTCCCCAGCTGAAGAGTCCTTGCAGGACCCTCCAGTCCTGTACGACCTGACCTCCCACAGCACCCCTTCCTCACTTCTCATTCCTGTGCTCCGCCACGCTGGCTCCCTCTGCAGGGCTGATGCACAGGGCTTCTCTCGTCCCAGGACCCTCTAGCATGTGTTCCTTCTGTCTGGGACGTCTCTCATCTTTCTCCTCTCAACTCAAAAACCCCCTTCTTAGAGGTCTTTCTAACGGTTTAATCTCCCATAGCCATCACCTCCCCGCACTCTAGCACACCCTTGTGTTTATGTTCTTTATAACAAACTGAAATCATTTACTATTTGTTTACTTGGGTCTTCATTCTTCTACACAACGGAATAAGTTATGGGTCTGTCTTGTTCACTTAAGGAGAGGGCCTGGCACTCAACAGACACCTAAGATAATTGAGTGCCTACTATCTTGGTGGGAGTGGCCCGAGCTGAAAGCAGACTTGGAATCCTCAGGTCCAAATATTGACACTTAACTCTTCCTCTACTCGTTCATCTCTAAATTTTCTCATCTGGGAAATGATGGGGATACTATTATCTGAAACTGAGATGAGTTAACTTTGTCGAAGACGGAAAGAGGTGCTCAGCTTGAGAGCCCCTAGGTGATTTAGCTATTGCGTCAGTTTGGATGGGCTAGGTTACATTGTAGCCATAAACAGCCCCCAAATTTCAGTGGTTTAAAAAGACATAGGTTTATTTTTCATTTATGCCACATGTCCACCATAGATTGCCAAGAACTTGGCTCCTTGACATCAGCCAGGCTGACAAAGCAGCCACCAACTGATGTTGCCAAGGCAAAAAGGAGAGCTTGGCTTAATTGAGTACTCTTAAACTTCCAGTCAGAAGCTCTCAGAAGGAAAGACTAAATTTTCAAGTCTTACTTGTAGCCAGGTGTGATCATGTCACTGGGTTTCTAGTCCATGGGAAGTAAACAGACCTAGAGTATGCATAACATCCAGAAGTGTTCTCAAAGAAGGGGCATGCAATTCTTTGCCCCTTATTCCCTCTGCTGGCTTAAATAAAGAGATGAAGAAGTAACAACTGAGGCTTGCACAGCCACTGCGGATTAGGTAATGAGTATAACTTGCTAAGGATAGTAGAGCAACAAGGTAGAATGCACCTGGGTCCCTGATAATCACAGAGCTGCCATACCTGCCATCTACTGCCGAACCCCTGACTTAATTTAATTTAATTTTTAAAAAAATTTTTCTTTTTAGATATTGTTTATTTGAGAGAGAGACAGAGATAGTGAGAGAGAGCACAGGTGGGGAGGAGAGGGAGAAGCAGGCTCCCCACAGAGCAAGGAGCCCGATGTAGGGCTCAATCCCAGGACCCCGGGATCATGACCTGAGCCGAAGGCAGATGCTTAACTGACTGAGCCACCCAGGCGCCCCCCTGACTTAATTTTAAAAGGGAAATAAACTGCTGTTTTGGATTTGCTGTCACTCACAGAAAAACCTCATAGGAACCAATCCATTGTTTGGGGCAGTAAAGGATGGGAATGGGCAAAGCATGAGCCAACATGATATGAAAAATAAACAGTATGTGTTGGATGATCTACAAAGTCAAATCAGCAGCAGCAACAGCTCAGAGTGAGAAGTCTGCAGAAGAAATACAAGTAGTCTCCATCCCAACCCCCTTAAAAGCCCCTAGATATAAAGTGAGGGCCACTGAATCTCCTACTGTAAGTGGGAGGCTCTCGCTATTTTTATTGGGAATCTCAGAGTGAAGGGTGATGTGTCTCCTCTTCTTTCTTTAAATAGACTTCTTTGAGAGCTCTGTGTGCCTATCATGGTTCCTGAAGGTTAGATGTGTGTATATTCAGAATCAGATACTCAGCTGGCATGTCATTCTCCCCAGCAGGATGGCCATCAGTTTCAAGATTCCTCAAGTAATTAAAAATAATAAGAAGAGAAAATTATATCCTGTATCATAATATCCAATTTGGCTTTACATTTATTGGAAATAAAGACCCTTCCTACACTGGGGTTGTATTATTTGCAGACAAGTGCTTGCAAATGCCTGTCTGAAAATCTTCCTTATCATTTATAAATAAAAATGTGAAAGTTATAGGTAGCTGGTCATGAAAACTGTATTTCCAGTGATGCAGAATGTACATTGCATTGTCATCTATATTTTGAACAAATTTTATTCTCGAACCAAAACATGATACTTGATTTTTAGAACATAATAAACTACTCTCCTTTTAATTCTGTAGGATGGATTTCTAGAATTAGAATTGCTGAGTAGAAAGATATATATACATATCTTTATAGATATGTATATACATCTTTTTTAACAGAGCTTGACAAGTTAATTTCCTACACCCTGCAGTGATTTCAATGCCCATTGTTAGTAAATTGTTACTAACCTCCTGCTTGGCTTTGGATCCCCTCAGTGCCCTACTAGGACTGAGTGTAACATTCTTCTGAACTTTTTGCCACCTGTTAGGTGAAAAACATGTTAACTCATTGTTACTTTAATTGGCATTTCCCTGATAATTGTGAAGTTGAGCTCCTTTTCATTTGCCTATGAGCATCAGGATTTCCCCCTTCTCTCAAATGGCTATTTTTATCCTTTGATTATTTTTCAACTGGACTATTTGCCCTTATATTACCAATTTATGGGAGTTACTGAAGTAGCATAATATAAGAATCTTTTATCTGACATACGTGCTTCAAAGATTTTTCCCAGTCTATTCTTTCTGACTTTGCTTATTGTCTTTTTGTCATATTTTAAATACTTAAATAGTCAAATGTTTCGTTTTCCTTTTTTTTTTTGACTGTCCTGTCTTGCTTAAGAAATCCCCCAGACACACAGTGCCACAAATTCCAAGAGCATACCCATATTTTTATAGATTTTTTCCTACATAGTTATTGCTATATATATTTTTATCTTTAAAGATTTCATTCTCCTGAAAATTATTTTTTTCTGTAGATAAAAGGAAGAATCTGCCTTTTCCTCCCCGTTTGACAGGCAGTTTTGGATGCAGCAATCTGTATTTAAAGGAACCACCCTTCTCCTTGTGTAGTACCACCTTGGCCACACCTTAGGGTTTCTACTTGTGAATTTCTAGTATGTTTCAATCAGGGTGCCTTTCTGTTAAAGAAAAAAAAACTCTGGTAAGGCAAGATTGCCTCCTTACCTCTTCTCCTCTATGTATTTTTTCTTTTCATTAGGGTTTTCTTAGGTATCCTTTGACATTTGTCCTCCACGTGAGATAATAAGGGTTTTGTTGGTTGTTGTTTGTTTTCACCTTGTATGCTGGTCCTAAGGGGTATGGAATTGGACTGGTTTGATCAACCGTCCTCTTTGGTGACCGGCTTGCCCTTCCCATATGCCCAGAAAGTGACCACTGGGGTACTTGTATGCTGCGGGGGTCCAGGCAGAGGAAGCTGCTGGGGCTGGGGTGTGTGTGGGGGGGTGTAGGGTGAAACTGCCGCTGGTGTTCTGGTCTCAAATGGGTCCTTTTTACTCTGAAGGGTGCCTCGTAAGTCACACAAAAGCCCCGCATTAGAAGTGGGCCTCCGGAGGGGGGGCAGAACTGCCGGGGAGTGGAGGGCCTGCCCTAGTTAAAGCTGCGCCCCACCCCCTGCCAACCATGTGCTCACCTACTGCTCTGCTATTCCTCAGAAAACACCTTGTTTGCAGCACCAGGCTGGCGGGGCCTCAGACCCCCTGCACTGAATCCAGCTCCACCTTTGGCTTTCTGAGCACCTCTCTTCCTGGATCTCTGCACTTTCAAAATAGGTGACCACTTCTCTGTGACACAGCTGCCTCTCAGCCTGGGACAGCAGTGTCACCTGCTTGCGGGACGGTGGTCTCCTAATTGCTTTCCTTGCTCCTGCCCCCACCGGCCTTCACTGTTCTCTGCTCCGCAGCCAGAGTGATCCTTTTAAACTGAAGTCTTGGGTAGGGTCTTAGTCTGGCCAGAGTGCTCCCACCCCATTCAGAGTCAAAGCCGGTCTTCCCAAGGGCAGCAGGGTTCCACATGATCAGCTCCTATCACCTTTCTGACCTCGCTCCAGTTACTCTGCCTCTCAGTCGTTTGTTCATTCATTCATTCATTCATTCGTTCATCAAATATAGATTGAGTGCCGACTTCTGTGCCACGCACTGTTATAGACGCTTGGGACACTCAGTGGACAAATGTGTGTGAGAGAGGAGGGACTAGTCTCTTGACTGTTCCATGAACTTGGGGGCACGTGGGTGCCTCAGACCCGAACACTAGCTGTGTCCCTGCCCAGACTGCCCTTGCCCCAGAAATCCACTTGCCTTATGTCTTCACCTTCTTCATGTTTCTCTTCAAATGTCACCTCCTAGCAAAGCCTCCCTTGAATGCCCTATTTAGGATTGCCGTGCATCTGGCACTTACTGTCTCCTCTGCCCTATTCATTTCTTTGTGACTTTTAATTTCCTCTAACAGACGTTGAATTTTATAATGTCTAGACTTTATAATTTCTGTCTGTTGTCTCTCTCCCAGCCCTCTCTACAGGGAGAGCTGGAGGAGGGCATGGTTCTCTCCCTGCTGTCATCTGAGTGGCTACAACAGTGCCTGGCACAGAATGGAACTCCGGAAATATTTTCTGGATAAAAGAAAGGATGAGTGAAAACGAAGAACATTGAGAAGGTTATTGGCCTTTACGTGCTTCCTTTCCATCTTCTAGAAATGAGGGAGTGTAATGGCCACTAACTAACAGGCTCCGTGGAAAGGTCTAACGAAACAATACATTTAGGGGCGCCTGGCTGGTTCAGTCAGTGGAGCATGAGACTCTTGATCTTGGAGTTATGAGTTCAAGCCCTGCATTGGATGTAGAGATTACATAAAAATAAAATCTTTAAAGAAAATGCAATACATCGGGGCACCTGGGCGGCTCAGTCAGTTAAGCAGCCGACTCTTGATTTCAGCTCAGGTCAAGGTCTCAGTGTGGTGGGCCCTCGAGCCCTGCATCAGGCTCCGAACTCAGCAAGGAGTCTGCTTGGGCTTCTCTCTCCCTCTCCCTTGGCCCCCCCCCCCCATAAATAAATAAATCTTAAAAAAAACAAACAAAAAACCAAAAACCATACATCTGAAGTGCTGACAACAGTACTTGGCACACATTAGAGTTCTTGAAATGTAGTTGGTTTTTTTTTTTTAATGTAGTTTCTTACTGTTGTTTGTGGTCCCAGTCCCAGTTCCACGTCATGTATGTAATGTGCACACATGCAGCTCAGGAGTCATACTTTTTATCTCTCATATGTACCCATGACCAACACGTGGTATTGTTTTATGTGCTCTCAAAATTTACTGCCGCAGTATTATGCATGTGTTTTTGAGGCCCATTTATGTTGCTCTACATAATCTAGCTCTTTCTTCTTAATGGCTGTGCGGTTCTCCACCCAGGGAACACAACGTCTCAGTGGTACAGGCAATACTAGAGGGAACACCTTGGCTCAGGTTCTTTTTGTGCACATCTCATCCCGAACCTGCAAGAATTTCTCAAGGAAGTATCAAAACGGTGGGGTTGCTGGGTTTGCTGGCTGTTCTCCATTTGTTCTCTCCCCTCCATTCTCCACCCTTACTGGACTGCTCCAGCCTGGGAGACTGTTCCCTGGAGACTGCACCGTCCACTGCCTTCCCGTTGGGTTTGGCCAGTGGAGGCCCGGGAGACTAGAGGGCAGGAAGGAGGGCTCTGGGTACTTTTCCCTGAACTCCCTCTTTGTTCCAGTGCTTTGTGTCTGGCATCACGTCTGTCCTTCCATCTGTCCTTCCTTCCCCTGTTCCAGGTTTGCAACCTGGGCTCTGTGTCCTCTCTTTGTCCAGTGAGCCTTGAGCAAGGTGACAGGTTCCGACCATTGCAGGTTTCTGGGTCCCTCACCATCCGCTGTCTCTTTCACCCTGCCTGTTCCTCCCTCATAGAGAGCTCTTCATTGGAACATTTGGGATAAACTGTTTTCTACCAGGACCAGATAGACACATTGGCTTCATAGGACATGCTCATTATTTACTGATTTATTTATTTGAGAGAGAGCTTGAATGCATGAGTGGGGGAGGGGCAGAGGGACAAGCAGACTCCCCACTGAGTGGGGAGCTGGACACGGGGCTCAATCCCAGGACCCTGAGATCATGGACTGAGTGTAAGTCAGACACTTAATGGACTGAGCCACCCAGGCACCCCAGGACATGCTCATTTTTAGAACTTAATTTTTGCTTTAACACACACACCCTACTCCCTTGTTTTGGGAAGTCAAATAGCACAAAAAAGTTCATGATGGAGAACAGAAGTCACCTGCCTTCTTTCCCATCTCCTTGCTCTATTTAGACTCTCCAGACGCAGCCATATTCAACTGTTTTCATGTCTCTGAGGGCTCAAGATGTGGAACATCTTTTCATATATTTGTTGACCATTTTTATATCTTATTTTGTGAAGTGATTTTTTTAGGTCTTTTATAAATTGATCTGTAGTTCTTTATATCTTCTAGATATGAAATATATCTCAAATGTATGTAGAATATTTTCTCCCAACCTGGGGCTTGCCTCTGACTTTCCTAATAGTCTCTTTTGAAGAACAGAAAGTTTAAATTTTGATGAAATGAAGCTTATTATTTTTGTGGTGAAATCTAATTTATTAAGTTTTTTCCTTTATGGTTGTTTGCTTTGGGTGTCATAACAAATTGCCTACCCAAGGTTGAAAGTATACTCTTGTTCTCTTCTAGCAGTTTTATAATTTTAGGTCTTGCATTTGTATCTATGACCCATTTCTGAATTTTTGTTTTGTTTTATATGGTGTGAAATTGAGTTCATTTTTTTTGTCCATAGGATATCCAGTTTTTCCAGCAACATTTATGGAAAAAACTATCCTTTCTCCACTGAATCTCTTTGATGTTTTTGCCAAAAATCAATTGGTGATACCTGTGTGAGACTATTTCTGGATGCTAGACTCAGTTCATTGATGTATTTATTCATCTTCATACAAACTTTGTTCTTCATTTTTCAAGATTATTTTGGCTAGATTTACCTCCTTTGCAATTTCATAATCACCTCTTCAAGTTCTACAAAAGTCTGCTAGGATTTTTAGATAAATGTGGAGAGAAGTGACATGTTAACGATATAGTGTTTCATTCAGTTCACGAATAAGGCGCTTCTCCATTTATTGAGGTCTCCTTTAACTTTTCTCAGCAATGCTTCTAGCTTTTGGTTGAAAGATATTGTACATTTTTTAATCCAGTTTATTCCTAACTATATTAATGATATTCAGAATGGAATTGAAAATTGTTTTCCAAATGATAATTTCTAAGATACAGAAATATGATTATTTTTTGTATATTAACTTTCTATTCTATGACTTTGCTAAACTTACTAGTTTAATCATTTATTTTATAGATTTCTTATGGTCTTTTAAAGTACATCTTTGAATAAAGACAGTTTTAGCTTCTCTTTTCTTATATTTATGCCTTCTCTTTCTTATTTTTCTTGCCTTACTGCACTAGCTAGAACCTCTAGCACAATGATGAATCAAACATCTTTGCCTATTCCTGATTTTAGGGTGAACATATTTGTGATAAAACAAGGATCAGATTATCAAAGCAGACTCACCCAAATCAGAGATGTGAAAGCAGTCAAATTATACAGATGAGGCAGGAACAGGTTCAGAACCATTGACAGAGCTCTTCAAGTCCATTATTGTGACATCAGATACACTCTGTTGCCTTTTATAAATGATGAGTGCAGTTCACATTATTTACACATAAGTGAGCCATTTAAGTCATGAATGCATCTCTGCTTTATACTTCCATAGTTATATAACATTTTCCAGGGAGCAATGCTCCATAAATCCGTAGGCTCCAGGTTTGTTTACTATAAGCAAGCCTGTCCATCCTTCAGAATGTACTCCATAATATGTAATGATTCTCCTGCCAGCAAGTACCATTAGCTTCTTTGCCAAGAGGTTTGCCATTGCATGTTTATGAGGAAATTGAATCAGATCACCTGTCTTCTATCTTTTCCAGGGGCTTTTTCCCTGATAACAGGGAAGAATGGATTAAAGATGCCATTTAATTCTTTCCTTTTCAATATTCAGTATTTCACCGGTAAGTATCATGTTAGCTGAAGGTTTTTGTAGACCCCCTTAATCAGACCGAGTAAATTTTCTTCTATTCCTAGTTTGCCAGAAGTTTTATTATAAATTAATGGTAAATTATTTTCTAATGCTTTCTCTGCATTTGTTGGGATGATCAAATTGTTTTCCTCATTTAATCTGTTAATGTGGAAAATTACATTGATTTTCAAATGTTAAACCAACATATTCTTAGGATAAGTCCTACTTCATCATGAGCTACTTATCTTTATATACACGTTGCTGGAGACACACACGCACATTTTGTCAGTTGCTTTTTTATATGTTTTTAAATTGGTAAATGCACATGACATAAAATTTAGCATCTTAACCAGTTTCAAGTCCACAGTGCAATGGTGTTAACTATTTGCACATTCTTGTGCAACAGATGTTTAGAACTTTTTCATCTTGCAAGACTGAAACTTTCTGCTCACTAAACATCAACTCTCCATTTCCTCCTCCCCCTCAGCCCTTGGTAACCACATTCTACTTTCTGTTTCCATGAGTTTGACTAGTTTAGATTCCTCATATAAATGGAATCTCATGCAGTATTTGTGTTTTTATGACTGGCATGTTTCACTTAATGTCCTCAAGGTTCATCCATGTTGTACAGTATGATAGAATTTTCTTCCTTTTTAAAGCTCAGCAATATCTCAGTAATATCACATTGTCTTTATCCATTCATCTGTTGATGGATGCTTAGATTGCTTCCACCTCTTGACGATTGTGAATAATGCTGCAATGAACATGGGTGTGCAAATATCTCTTTGAGATGCTGTTTTCAGTTCTTCTGGATACATACCAAGAAGTGGGATTGCTGGATCATATGGTAATTATGTTTTTAATATTTTTGGAGAAACTCCATACTGTTTTTCATAGCAGCTGAACCATTTTACAGTCCCACAGACAGTGCACAGGGTTCCAATTTCTCCATATCCTCTCTAGGACTTGTTTGTTTGTTTGTTTGTTTTGCTGTTGTTTGTTGATTGCTTTTGTTTTTATTTTTTTGATAACAAGCATACTACTTACACCATCTTAATTACTGTTGCTTTGTAGTATGTTTTGATATCATGAAGTATGGGGCCTCCAACTTTGTTTTTCTTTTTCAAGATTTCTTTGACTATTTTTTATATGAATTTTAGGATGGATTTCTGATTACATTGAATCTGTAGATCGCTTTGGGTAGTATGGACATTTGAACAATATTAAGTCTTCCAATTCATGAACACGGGATGTCTTTCCATTTATTTGTATCTTCTTTGATTTCTTTTAGCAGTATTTTGTAGTTTTTAATGTACAAGTCTTTCAGCTCTCTGGTTAAGTTTTTTCCTAAGTATTTTCTTCTTTTTGATACTATCGTGATTGGGATTGTTTTTAAATTTCTCTTTCAAATGTTTCATTGTTAGTGTATAGAAACACAGCTGATTTTTGCGTGTTGATTCTGTGAAATCTTTAGAGTTTTCTAGACATTGGATCATGTCATCTGAGAGCAGAGATAATATCCTTCTTCCTTTCTAGTTTGGATGATGCTCTGTGTAGAATTTGCAGTACTATGTTCAACAGTAGTGGCCAGAGTGGGCATCCTTGCCTTGTTTCTGATCTTAGAGGGAAAGCCTTCAGTCTCTTACAGTTTTGATATAAGAGTAATTCTGGCCTCATAGGTAAGTTTGGAAATGTGCCCAGCTCTTCACTTCTTAGGAAGAGTTTGAGGAAGATTGGGATTAATTATTCTTTAGAAGTTTGGTAGAATTCTCCAGTGAAGACATCTGGTCCTGGCTTTTCTTTGTTGAGAGGTTTTTGTTTGTTTGTTTTTTTTTAAAGATTTTATTTATTTATTTGACACAGAGAGACACAGCGAGAGAGGGAACACAGCAGGGGGAGGGGGAGAGGGAGAAGCAGGCTTCCCGCTGAGCAGGGAGCCCTGACGCGGGGCTCGATCCCAGGACCCTGGGACCATGACCTGAGCCGAAGGCAGACGCTGAACGACTGAGCCACCCAGGTGCCCCTGTTGAGAGGTTTTTGATCACTGCTTTAATTTCCTTACTAGCTAGTTTTGTTCAGATTTTGTATTTCTTCATGGTTTGGTCTTGGGAGGTTGTATATGTTTCTAGGAATTTATCCATTTCTTCTAGGTTATTCAGTTTGTTGGTACGTAATTGTTCATTGTCGTCTCATAATCCTTTTTATTTCTGTGGTATCAGTTATAATGTCACCTCTTTGATTTCTAATTTTAGTTATTTGGAACTTCTTTCTCTTTTTTTTTTTTGTCTATTTGCTAAGAGTTTGTCAACCTTTTTCACTGATTTTTTTTCCTTTTGTTTTTCTATTCTTTGTTTATCTCTCCTGTAATCTTTATTATTTTCCTTCTTTTAACTTTTTTGGGTATTTTTAAAAAATACTTTGATTTTTAAGAGCAGTTTTAAGTTTACAATAAAATCAAGAGGAAGGTACAGAGATTTCCCACATGTGCAGAGCCTTCCTTGTTCTCAGCACCACCACTAGGAAGGGGCATTTGTTACCATCGATGAACTTGCACTGACACAACCTAATCATCCAAAGTCCATAGTTTACCTGAGGGTTCACTCTAGGTGTTATACATTTTGTGGGCTTAGAAAAATGTATGACGTTTATCCATTATTGTAATAGCATACGAAATATTTTCACTGCCCTAAAAATTCTCTGTGCTCTGCCTATTCATCTTTCTCTTCTTCCTACCCCTTAACCACTGGTTTTTTTTTTTTTTTATTAAGATAGTTTGCCTTTTCCAGAATGTCATATAGTTGGAATCATACAGGAGGTTGCCTTTGCAGATTGGCTTCCTTCACTTTGTAATATGCCTTTGAGGTTCATCCGTGTCTTTTCACAGCTTGTTTGCTCATTTCTTTTTAGCGCTGAATAATATTCCATTGTCTGGTTGTACCAAATTGTACCATTTATCAATCTACCTATTGACAGGCATCTTGGTAGCTTCCAAGTTTTGGTAGTAATGAATAAAGCTGCTATAAACATCTGTGTGCAGGTTTTTATGCAGGTGTAAGTTTTCACCTCTGTAGGGTAAACACCAAGAAGTGTGATTGCTGGATCATATGGTAAGAGTACACATCTGCAAAACTGTCTTCCAAAGTGCCTGTACTGATTTGCATTCCCACCAGCAATATAGGAGGAGTTCCCATTGCTCTGTATCCTCGCCAACATTGGGCATTGTCCTGTTCCAGATTTTGGCCATTCTCATAGGTGTGTGGTGTTTTAATTTGCATTTCTCTGATGATACTTGATGTGAAACATCTTTTCATATGTTTGGTTATCATCTGTATATCAAATATTATTTGGGGAGGTGTCCATTAGGGTCTTTGGCCCATTTTTTAGTTGGGTTTTTTACTTTCTTACTGTTGAGTTTTAGGAGTTCTTTGTATATTTTGGACAGCTGTTCTTTATCAAATGTATATTTTGCAAATATTTTCTCCCAGTCTGTGGCTTATCTTCTAGTTCTCCTGATAGTGTCTTCTGCGAACTTTTGGTTTCGTTTGTTCTCTTTCCAGTTCTTTTAGGTGTAAAGTTAGATTGTTGATTTGAGATCTTTCTCCTTTTTAAATGCAACTGTTTATTGCTGTAAACTTTCCTCTTAGTACTGCTTCTGCTTCCTCCCGTTAGTTTTTGTATGTTGTTTTTTTGCTTTCATTTGTCTCCAGATATTTTCTCAATTTTCTAAATTTCTCCTGTTGCTAAAAACCTACCTCAGTAAGATTTACATCTTGCACATATATTTGTTACAATTAATGAGACAATATTGCCACATTATTACTAGCTGAAGTCTGTACCTTATTTGGATTTCTGTAGTTTTTATCTATTTTTTTTTTCAGCAGATATGTTTTATTATGTGCACCTGGCTCCATGCCAGACACATGGTATCAGAATGGACAGACGGGGCCGCTGCTGGGGACGGCTGCCCTCTCTGGTCTTCCCGCCCCACCTCAGCTTGGCTAGGCAGGGGAGTGGGGGGGGGGGACTCGGACAGGTGCCCAGGTGGCAGGTGCGCTGTCTTCTAATTCAGCGGACACGGAAAGAGGAACAGGACGGAGTGGACCACAGAGACGGAAATGCCCAGCAGGGAGCTGTCTCGGTCTGAGACCAGAGAGGCTGTGGCTTGCATGGACGGCGCGGGAATCCCTGTCTTTTCCGGAGGAGGGTTTGGGTGGTTTGCAGAACAGGGGGTGTGCTGGAAAGGAAGGCGGCTGACAGGGGCGGTCTGAGAAAGCACAGGTGGGAGCAGATTCGAGAGAGCTCGGTAAGGTCAGAGGAAAACGCGAGAAGCTAGGAGGGCTGTCGCCGTTCAGAGACGAGCGGCACCCTGGCCGATGGCCCCGAGACCCAGTGCCGGATGCCCTCTCAGATGCGAGCAGTCCCAGGTCAGACAGAGCTGCTTGAAGCGGAAAAGGCAAGCTGCCAGTCAGCCCCCACACCCTGCAGCTGGGGCCACCAGCCACCTCCAGGTGGCACGTGTAGTCCCTTCCGTGGGAGGGACCCGGGGATAGGGC